ATAATATCATCTCCAAACATCATAGGCAGAGATAGGATGTATTAATTCAAACTATAATATCAGCTCCAAACATAATATCAGCTCCAAACATAATATCAGCTCCAAACATAATATCAGCTCCAAACATAATATCAGCTCCAAACATAATATCAGCTCCAAACATAATATCAGCTCCAAACATCATAGGCAGAGATAGGATGTATTAATTCAAACTATAATATCAGCTCCAAACATAATATCAGCTCCAAACATCATAGGCAGAGATAGGATGTATTAATTCAAACTACAGTCCAACCTCAGTATAACGAATCTGAAGGGACCGAACTGAATATTCGTTATATCAAGGATTTTGTTAAAACGAGGTTCGTTATATAGAGGTTAGGTTTGCAGGAATTTCGCTAAGTCGAGGTTCAGAACCACCATCGGTCAATATAGGTCGGGATTTTACCTCATTAAAATACAATTAAAGTAGCATAGGCTACAATACTTTACAGTACAGTGTTTACATTGTACAGTAGAACCTAAATTATCCGGCATGACATAATAAAGGGGAGGGATCTTGAATATTGCGCAATCATGACAATGGCATTGACCTTGGTACAGGTTAAAAACTGTAAGTGTAAAATCACAGCTTGTTCTAACCCTCCTAAAACCTTGCCAAACACTGTATTGCGTAGTCATAAACCATGTAAAGAACAAAACAAAACAGTAGAAAGTTTTGTAAGCTACTGCTCGTGATAGGCCGGTAGGCTAATTACAGTACAGTTCTGATTTATCACAACAGAGGAATGCCAATAATAATCATTAACTATAGCATTGGTGTTGCTAGTTGAAACAAATCGTATTGAAAACAATAAATTATTAGTTAAGTCATTATAAAAGTGTATAATCATAGCCAACTTAAGGAGGATAAAAACAGTCGTAAATGGAATGTTAAGATAACGATGTTGCTATTCTTTCTCTTTGGGTTTGTTTTTATATTCTTTCTTAGTTTTCTCTTTATCCAAAAATTGTACAATTCACCATAGTTATCCCATATCGCCCAATCACAGCTTACTAAACATTACGTCGTCATCAGTCCTCAGTAAATGAAATCAGTTCAGTTCTCAGTTGCAAGTTGCAACATAGCGCGCGCAGCGACAGCAGACAAAGATGTAAAACGGAGCAGACGAATGTTAGCGCAAGCGATGACGTGACCTTTCCATTTCATTTAATAAATAAACAGATTTTCCCAAAACAATAATTGGGTGGGGGATTTGTTATATCGAGGGAAAGACGTAGACAATTCGTTATGCAGAGGTTAAATTAGCAATGTAGAGGTTCTGACAATTACAAATTCGTTATATTGAGGTGTCTTATTTTAGCCGAAATCACGAAAAATTCGTTAAATCAAGGTCGTTGTTATGGTTTGTTCGTTATGTAGAGGTAAAATATACATTGTGTCTTATGGAGAGTTCTAGAAGATTAAAAAAAATTCGTTATATCAAGGAATTCGTTATATCGAGGTTCGTTATATCAAGGTTAGACTGTATAATATCAGCTCCAAACATAATATCAGCTCCAAACATCATAGGCAGAGATAGGATGTATTAATTCAAACTATAATATCAGCTCCATCAAAAATAGAAAAAGGTTTTATCAGTTACAACCATAATAGACAATAAGACAGGCACTTCTGCTCCAACCACAATAAATTAAATCAAGCGAAATAATCCAACAATGATGCAATGACTCATTCCAGGCCAGTACTGAAGGTTAACAAACAAAAACAGAGCATTGGTGTTATGTGGGGAAACAAAATTTACAATCTTGATAGAGCCTAATAAACCTTGACATACAGCCTCTCCCATGTAATCTTCCAGCTTGATTCAACATTTGCAATTCATTGAGTGCAATGTCGTGTTGCTTATCAATAACTTTTCCAAATACAAATTCAAATATTCAATTACATACATTAGCGGTGGATACATTTTAATATGTTTAGTGTCTCCCTTTGGAAGGACTGTGAAGGTGTTTTGAAAATAATTCTGCATCAAGGAGATTCTGAGATTATTAGTTTTATGGTCTGTAAACAGTTTTTAAAGATAATAAATTGCTTTAAAAAACTTTGATTAGTTATTGTGATTCTTAGCTTGGTAAATGAAACTTTTCTAGCTTCGAGACCGAAATAGTTAAGTTTGGGAAAAAAAGATGGACCCTTAAGAAAGTAATGTGAGCTTCAATATACCATTAATCTTGTGGGTTTATATTTTAATGATTGCTTAAATTTATGTCGATATCCTAATTTTCAGTCAGTTTCAATGCAAATAATTACATCTGACGATAACCACACTCAAGAATCAACTTATAACATTTTAGACAATCCAGAATTGATTGTGTATTTCCTCAAGAATTTCACAAAATTACATAGTCTCAAAAACAAATTGTATTCATCAAACGCAACCAAAATAAATATTATTAACATTGATACCAGATGCCTAAAATTAAAAACTTCTAAGTTTTAACCTAAGATTCACTGATTAATCAACGATTACAAGAAAATAAAAATTGTCTAAAACACTGACTGAAAATGCCAATAAACCCAGCTACACTCTTAAAATCTGTTCCATTAGACCCTTGCATAAACACAACCAACCCACAAACTCATCTCCTAAAATAGCTTCAAAGATGTATTGCTTTTGTCCCAATACAATTTGCAATAACTCTGTTCCTACTAACAAGCTTATACTATTGCATATTGCGGCTGAGTTTCTGAATGTATTTTAAAAATATTCTCATCTCATAAAATTTGATAGAAATTTAATCAAACAGAGATCATAATAAATGGCAAAGATTAGAATTTTGATTCCTTGGAGCTTAAATAAAACAACATGAATTACCATAATCATCTGTTTAGTTATCAGTTGAGAAATATCAACAATCAGACAAAACCCCATAGATACATAGACTATTGACGCATGTATTGATACTGTCACTAATAAAACACTCAAGAAAAAGAAACTTGCCGACAATAAGTGAAGATACGAATCTTGCTCATACAATTGTCTTCACGCAAATCATGCAAATAAGGCCTTGCAAGACTTTTGAATTTACATTGCTTATAACTAACATTTAATGCTAGTGTGATTCTGATGAATAACATTAACCTGTTTATTGCGTCTGATGTCCACACTTTGATTGAAAGGTATTGGAGAATGGTGTTGAATAAGTGATGAATTCAATTGTATACAGAATGATCATTTAAATATTCAGTAAAGAAAAATGTTGTTTTTAGCGAATTTCCCTATAGGGAAGAACTTATTACAAGGTGGCACGGTAAGACCGTGACCCAAGATTGATTTACTTTTTCAATTTAATGTCCCCAGAGGCCAAAAACACTATATGTATTTTTTGTACATAAATACAATAAATAGAGCAATTTTGTACAATTTTGATGAAATTTGGCATGATTGTGTGGGGCCTAGATACACTTGAACGAGTTTGCAAACCAGCAATATCAAGTCATGGGGGTTTTAAATTATTCAAAAATTTGTTTTTCAAATGTTCACCCTTAAAACATGAAAATAATTTTCATTGTATCCAAAGTGTAGAGCTTAAAAAACAAATAATTTTGTATGTTGAAGCGTTGTTGTACAATTAAATGTTGCAGAGAAAATTTTAAAATAACTTTACATTTATAAATCTCATAAAATTATTATAGAGAAAAAGTAAACTGTTGTAGTTTGCTTGTTTATGAATATATTTTGATCAAATTTGGCAAACTTATTCATTTAGTACAATATGTTTCATTAATTAATATGTTATTAACTAATATGTTAACTATTAATATGTTTCATAAAAAAATACTTTTTTTCCTTCCCTATAGCAGCTCCCCCCCCCCCTTAGTGCTTGTTAAACCTAATATTCTTTAAATAGGGAATCAATCTCTATCATGATTAAGAACACATTTTACTTAAAATCCAATCAGACAAATGGAAATCAGCTTAGTCTGCAGGTTTACTGAAAATGGGGTATTGTCTCTTATAAAAACTTAAACAGTGGAAACAACATTCAGTATGAAGTAGATTGGGTGACGATCGCAAAACATCTGCTAGTATTTAGTGGTGAAAGACGACTTTGAGCAGTTCCAGCCATGACCCTAGCCAACAAGTGGTATCAATAGCTTACGACTTTCCGAGTGTGTAAATGTCACGTAAATCATCACCAGTCCGTAAACACACTACCCTACTTCTACTCCGTGCTTCACTCCACAAGATAAGATGCAAGACACACCTGAAGTCTGACCGTGAATTTCACAAAGGTGTACGGTAGAAACTTATGTTTACGCCTGTCTTACACGTAACAGAGGTAGTTAGCAGATAGAGAGTATTATCTTATTTAAAATGGTAAGACCTACAACTACGACCAATTTTTTTATGTTTACAGAGTACAAAACACTATTTCAAAATTTCTATTTGTTCTTAGGCATATCACAAACAAGTGAATCCCTTGTATTTTATATTGTAAGATCTTCAATTTAACTTTGTCTACAAAACTAAATTAAAATTTAATGAGGGTGTATAGTGTGCAAATTATACTGGTTATGAGAATAAAAAGGAAAGCTAATGATTTAGATGGTGTACAAACAATGGCTAGGGAAAAAATTCCAAAAAACTACATTAAAAAATACCATGTAGAATTCTAAAACCATCATAATGTGCTTATTTCTGGACATATATTAATTAAATTTGACAATATTATTCATTTCATACATAGCTATTAACATTACACTCACTAGTAACACACTTTACTAACTTCCCTGATTAAACCTAGCTACTCATTTAAATATATCCGTATTCAAACAGGAATGAATCTGACTCGGAATTACTTCAGTAGAGAATAGAGATCTAATCAAATGGATATTTCCGTAGCAGGGTTGCTTTGGCAGACCTATTAAGTTGTGTTCTAGCTACATCGTCGTGTTATTTTTATCAGAATGTTTATGGTTCGCTCTGTTGCAGCCATCAGCGTAGACGGGATGGACCGAAGGAAGTACCAATGTCCAGACAACTTTGTCCGCGTGGCGAGCAGCTGCTATTACCTCAGTGTGTACATGGATACGTGGCACGGAGCGACATTCACTTGCCAAACTATGAACGGCAGCCATCTTGCTGCACCAGACAGAAAATGGAAGGACAGGCGGCTCAAGAAACTTCTTAGCATGGACATGGCTGGTAAGTAATTTTTGAATATATTTTTTGTCCCACCTTCAAATCTAAGCTGTAGCCCGAGATCATTTTTTACATTACTTCAGGATTGGCCTGCAGGTTGTGGCATTAGATAAAATCTATTGGTGTTCAGCAAGATTTGAGCCCAGGACTTGGAGGACCGAATTCCTGCGCTCTACTAGACCAGCTTGCTCCTCCCAATGTATTATTGTTAGGGGGGAAAGGGTTTTAGTAGTAGAGCACAGAACTTTGGTCCCTGAGATCCGGGGTTAAAATCTTGTTATCTAAGTGATAATTTCGCAACCCTTAGGTCCAGCTTGAAGTAATATGAAAACCAATTCTGAACTTATATTCTGAGCTAGAACCTAGTTTAATGAACAAAAACCGTATTGGTAAGTAATAAGGCATAACTTTTTAGTCATTTCAGCCTTGGTATAAGGTTTACGGCCTTACAAAGGTTTATGGTTGAAGGGGAGTAGACAAATTTTATTGGAATTCTGGGTAAGAAAGAGAAAGAACAAAGGTTATGTAAGATTTGGGAAAGGAAATGTTGTGAGTTTGAGGTTAGGATTGATTGGCAAATTCATTCTCAAGAAAAATAATTTCCAATTTGAAGACAAGAATTTCTTACAAATAAGCATAGTGTAATGGACACTAGAATGCATCATATGCCAATTTATTCATTGACCCATTGAAACCCAAGCGGTTAATACTACATAATTGTCTTTAGCTGATCCACGAAGCTGGTAAATCTATCAGGAAGTACTGTATGTCTAGGTACAAACATAGGTCAAATGAATCCCATTCAATCTAGCCTTGGGTGAGCCTTCGTGAGGGAATTGAGCAATTCACGATTATGGTGCTATCAATACATCTGAATTGTTTACGGAGGGAAAAGAATTACTATAATAACCAAACAATGATTGGATGATTGCAAATATGACATGAGAAACATGGATAAAATCACAAATGGTAATTGCAGATGTTGCAAGAATGTTAATGTTAAGTTGATAGGGATACAGCACATAAAGTAAACTGTTTATTCAAAGGTTGAGCTTTTTGTTGACAAATGAAAAACAATTTATAGTTTTTTAGCGAATTTACCACATGACTAAGATCTCTCAGGTCCTGGACTTGGGACCGTTTAACTTTTTTGTTTTTATGTACACAGAGGTCAAAACAATCAGTCTCTAGGTCTTACCGAGAGACCTACAGTAATAGCTTTTCCCGTATATGGGAAATTCGCTAAAAGAACATATTAAAAATATTTAAACTTTGTCAACTACCTGATTTGGTAACAGGTATAGACAAAATGTTACTTCTTTAATTGAATAACCAATTGCTGATAACCTGATTGTTCACTATTTAGTACCAAACTATTGTTCGTTTTTTTCCCGCCGTTTTAATAATACAGCAGGGTAATTTAAACGTGTTAAGCGAACTATTAATGTGAGCCGATGAAGGTGTACAAAGTGCAATGAACTCTGGGTTATATTTGCCACTTAAACACCTTCACAAAGAGAGTTTATCTGTTGGTAATTGAGCTCACCAGAAATTGGCTCTCGGCAAACAACACAGCCAAATATTGATAAGCTACTGAAGACAACTACATTGTCAACTAACAAATCTATTCAACTATGTTTACTGTAGAAGGGCAATAGGATATTTATTGTTTAATCAGAGTATTATGATTTTTCTTGGGTTATGGTGGAATATATCTTCAATTGTAACTTACAAGAGGTTGTTAAAAGACCCCTGTCGATGTATATAAATTGTTGCAAGGTTTTTTTTTATTAATATCTAATAATGGTACCGTTGAAGGGGGAAATAATATTTTTTAAATAGTATTTTGCAGTGTTAGTTTTGTCGCTGACTTTTTGTTGAGCAGTCAACTAAAAAAAAAAAAAAAATGAATATTTTTATCTAGGTTAGTGGTTTAGCAGAATTTAAAGTGCAAACTTTTTAGAAATATCATAAAAACATTATCTGAACTATTTCTGTCAAGTGTATAATGGAATATACCATTTTTTCTTCCTCAATTCATAGTAGGCATATTATGGTTGAGTATTAAGTTTGTGAATACCATTTTTGAAAACCAATATTAATGAGTACAGTAGGCTAATGTTAATATGGGTAAATAATAAAAAAATTTTAAAAATATCACCACCCCAGCAATCCTGCAGAAGCGAATTACCAATTGCCCGATTGGATATACACTGAAACACTCTCTTAAACAAGTTAGATTTATTCCCCATTAAAATCAAATAACATTAAGTTTAGTGAGTACTTAGGTTTTCTGTGGTATCAAGGAATGTAATAAACTTAATTTTTTTAGAAATGTATAAAAGCTTGGTATAAAATCCTTAACACGTAAATTTGATGGAAAAAATATACCCATAAAAATACAAACTACCACAGTTTACTTATTATTATCCATAACAATAACATAAGAATTGTAAATTTATAGTTTTGTTTTTCTTTTTTCTTTGTAACGTAGCCATTCTGTGTGCAAAAAGCTACAATGCACTAAATTATTAGTTTTTCTGAGCTCTACAAAATTGGTTCAGAATTAAAGTGTGATTATGTTTTATATGTTAAAAATGGGACAAACAATTTTTTACCCCAAAAAATTCTGTTTCCATATTCAAATAATATTGGTTCCCTAACTCGTTTGAATAACTTTTATACCAAATTTCATTGTGCTAATGTAACATCTAGGGACATCAAAGCAAAAAGCAAAGCTGTCTCAGGTCTCGGTCCTACTATGAGACATATTATTTTCTCTATAGGGAAACTTGCAAAAAATGCAACAGACAAAATCTTGTACTCGTAAATCTGCCCGAATTCTTTTATAAAATCCGATTCCTGATGCACTCCGCATATTGTGTACATTTTGCGCTTTGACACAGAGACAATAGGATGTCCACCATTGGTCTGTGTTATAAATAGCCACTGGAGTCTGACTCGTAACTAACACTGGAGTACGAGATTGATGTAAGGAGTCTCGAAAGACTAACGACCACGGTGTGCAACATTTACCAGACTTACGGCTTTGATTCGCCTAGTTAACTATGTCGTCATTCATTGGCCACTTGAAAAATTCAGAGTATTTCAAATTAATCAACTTGTGACGCTGGTGCTCGACTTGGGATTTACCACATAAATGTTTGGTAAACAAAAGAAAATAATTAAATTTAAGATTTAGAGAAGAGAGTAAAATTATTTAAATCCTGACAAAATATTTTTTATGAGGTTGGTAGCTTCTTTTACTCTTATATTTACTTGTCCACGTGGGTCTTCAGTCAGTACGAGGAATATTTCAAGCAAAGCAAGGGCTAGGAATATAGGTCAAGAATGAACTCTTCTGATAAATAGTGTCGGTACCAGGATTCTAACACAAAATAGCTATATTGGATTAAAAATTCATCAAGCTTAACTGAGCTACCAAACACCGAATACTTCCTTGTATTCTGAGTTGTTATCAAATTCAGTATTTTTATCCACACAGAAGTAGGCCTTCACATTTGAACCTTATTCATTACTACTCATAAGTTCATTAGTCATTATTATTTTAAATATTTAAATTCCCTCACCATTCTCTTTCCCCAATTCAAATTGTAAATGAAATCACCAACTTTAGCAAATAAAATGTATTTCTCTTTGGCAGTCTTTATAAACAAATCTTTTTTTTTTATTTTAATAGTATGGGTTTTCTAGATTTGTATGTTTTAGGGATAAATTTTAGAAATTATCAATGAAAGGTTGTTAAAATTTTCAACCTGTGCAGCCTGTTTTGCAACAACATTATGTTATTTTATGTTCCATATCGGTACAGTATAAAGATTAGTAGGAAACAGTGGCTGAGGTCTTATTTTTAACAATTAAAATTGTGTCAACAACTTAGTGCTTACATTTACATACTGTATTTAGTATACTCTTTAACACAGTTATCCCAATTCAATTGGAATATTACTATTGGTATTAAACTCTTACCTAATATTAATCAAGGACTGTACTTATGTCAATTTGAAATCAAGTATTGTCAAAAGTTAACTCAACGATATTCTTTTAATCTGATTCAATCCTTATTAAATTAAAACGTAAACTGTGTATGTAGGTAAATGGCTATTTAAAAATACAAATATCTACTAGGTTTCCAATGACTAGCTCTACTAGGTTCTACTAGGTTTCCTAACTTGTAAAAGTTTCATTTACAACTACTGGTACAAATAAAATGTTTTGTCAATGTGTCTAAGGCTGTTTGTCAATGTTACAGCACGCCTAGAGAGGTGGATCGGAGGCATTTTTGACTGGGGCAGACACAAATGGGTGTGGGGAATCACAGGTCGACCAATCAAATACCAGGTACACTATACGTAACTCTCATTATAACCTTTTAATGTCCTGTCGTCACATCCTAGGGGATCCCAGAACCGTTGTCACATTACTGCATGCTAGGCCTATGTTTTTGCAACATTATTACTTAGAATCCATTAGTAATTGGCAGGATTTGAACTTGGGGCATGAGAGACTTAAATCCCCCCTTGTTAATCCTTGTTGATAAATAATGTCATTTGAAGAATAATCATCATGACAGATGTAACACACAACAAATGGTGGAAATATATTGGTGTAAACAAAATAGTGTTTCCAATGAGACAGATTTACGGAGATCGATCACTGAAATCCACTTCATCCCTTTTTAAATACATAATACAATAATGTTATAGGTAATTTTATTTACTTGGTCTCTTTGTTACTAGTAACACTTTTAGATAATAATCATTACAAATTATGGGTAAAATCTCAGTCACTAGGTATAACGGAATTTCGTAAAAGTAAAATCCGGATTAACCAAAATTAAGGGGATGAGGATTGTTGAAAGCTCAATAACTAGTTTAACTTTTTGTTGTCATTCCCAACTAATTTTTACTTCAAAAAACTCCAACTCAAAACTTTTGGATGTCTATGGGGTGTAGCCTGACGTGAATATAGTCTATGTTTTAGGATTCATAATCTACTTTTAGTAAAACTAGCTGTTACCCATGGGCTTCACCCCGTTTGACTTCATAAGTATTAATAAAACTATTGATTGGTTAAGTTAACCATAAATAAACAAAATACAGTAAAACAAACAAATAATCACACCTGATTTTAATAAGGTAATAAATCGAAAGAATAACAAACAAATAAGTACAGCTGAGGTATTTTTAACATTAGGTATATGGAAAGTTCCCTTTAGAAAGGACTTACGACCTTATAGGGCAATTTATGAAATAATGGATAGTTTTGCGCAAGGTTTCTTGTCATGACGAACATTTTAAGTATACGGTTTATGGGGGTGTGACTTGTAGTTTTCTCAAAAGTTCATGGGTACTTTTGGCTTTATATATAGATTTCAAACCAGTAGTTTCAGTATTTTTGCACTCATCTCAGGATAAAAACATACACACAACCTCTTTTTTTTAATCAGGCTCAAACTGATTACAATTTTTATTCCAGGGATTTTCTCGCCACTCAAAAACGGGGGATGAGTGGCACTGCATGGCTATGGATCCAGTCTACCTTTACCGCTGGAAATCAGAGAGCTGCCTCAATCGTAAACACTTCATCTGCGAGCTTCCCCTGCGCAACATTGGGGCAAAACCCACCGACATCTACCCTCGGAAACGCAAGGGCGGGAAACATCGGAGGAAACAGCGCAAGAAGATGAACAAGGAACCAAACAGCATTTTGTAAATAGACTAGAATGAAGAGCTTGAGCGGATAACCTTAACTTGAAAGATAAAAATACACTAGAGTCCTGCTAGTCCAAACCGCCTATTAAAAAACCTGTTTCGAACCTGGTAAAAGGTTCTAAGACCATCTATACATTAAAATTCATGCTTTATTCTGTAAATCGAACCAGGGTGTCCAACCGACCTAGAAACCAGGAATTACGTGAATTTTAAAGACCAGGGAAAATTCTGAGAATAGTAGGCTAATCTACATAAATTGTGTATGGAATCGGGAAATTTGGTAGAATTCCCAATAGCTTATGGCCAAGTGCCAATTTTTTTATGAAATACCATTGGTTCTCTTTTAACATTGTCATAAAGTAAGAAACATTTACTACTTCTCTGTGCAGGATGATCGCAGGAGATGATTACGGTTTCTCCATGATCTTGGGAGAAATATTATCGCTATTTCACGTCTTAAATATCAAATTTGATTTTGTTACGCAATTTTACTGATTTTTAAATAATTTGAATAACTTTCTAATGAGAACAGTACAGAAAGTTAATATACAGCATTGTACGTGTTATTAAATTTACGGAAAGTAAATAAAAGATATGTCTACTAACACTTCAAACCAATATTTACGCTTATTTTTTCATTCGCCTATTGGATCTGATGATGATTGGGTCTGGAGTGTCCAATCGAAATTGATCACCACCACTTACCATCATTTATGTATATTTAACGTCTTGTGGGTTAACAGTAAAAGCTTAAATATGTATTTTAAGTGTTATTAGACGATCTTTTATTTACTTTCCGTAAATTTAGTAACACGTACAATGCTGATCACAAAGTTATTTAAGAACAGTGTCCGGTCCCTATTAAAATTAGCAGGAATATGGTGCTCCTTATTAATAAGACCTCAAGTTATGGACCTAATTTGTAGACCTTGTACTTTAATGTAATTTAATGAAATTAACTATAACATTTTTAACCACCCACCTGTATGTTTAGTTAGGTATAACTTAGGAAGTTGGATAGAATAGGTATTAAATAGATTTTTTTGTGATTTTATTAGTGTGATAAGAAAACTATTGCTTTATACTAATACCTGGATTTGTCAAAGAATAAGCTAAGCTAAGAGACCTTTGTTATGTTAACGGAATGCAAATTTAAACAGATCACTCTCCAAAATTATTTTTAAAATTGAGTGCTGATAGAATGCCAAAAAAAAGAACATCTACCATAACCTATGAACTTAATCCAGAATAAAAGTTAAAATTAAAAACGTATGCCTAACTAAAATTGTTTATAGTGAATACAGATTTTGGTTGGGTAACATAAAATTTCGTTACCATATATACACTATAGTATTATCTGATATGTAAGTTATTATGACATACCCTAATTATAATAATAATAATATTAAAGATTGTGTTCTCTGTGATTTTACTTGTTGTAAATTAGTTAGAAGCTATTATTAATATTTTTTCTATGGATTTCAAACTAAAAACAAATACTTCAATTTCTGTATATCATAATATCACCTTACCATAGTAAGAAGGCTCAATAGAGTGACATAAAGCTTTCTTAAGAAGTTACAATGACCTAACTCTTTAATTTAAAAAAATTTTCTCAACGGTAAGTAGAAACTACTAGGTGTACAATGCAGTTGTCTGCTTGCAATATTGAGCGGAGCCAGCATATTAATTCAATGTCAATTATATATTTGGTTCGCATAAATGTAATGCCTATTTACTGATTCTAAAGTCAATGGTACGTCCGGTTCACGTAGACGGATTGATTACTTGTAGTATCCAAACTCAATGGTGCATGTAAATGAATAGTCTACTTGCAGTATCCTAAATCAATTGTCCATTTATTTCGTTCATTTAGATAAAATGCCGAATTGCAGTATCCGAAGTCAATGGTGGGCTTAGGCCTACTTCTGCTTCACTTATATGGGATGTCTATGTGCAGTATTCAAAGTACGTCAAATGATACGTCGGGTTCTTGTCAAAGAATTGTCTAATTGCAGTATCGAAACTATGAGTGTTATATTTGGTTCACCTTAATGGAATTCCTATTTGTAGACTGCAAATAGGAATTGCAGTGCATATTCATTAGTCTACATTTAGTATTCATAGTCATAAGTCTACATTAATGGCACGTCTTGCTCACATAAAATACTGAAAAAGTTATTTACAGAATCCAAACGCAATATGGTGCATTCGCCTAATTCTGGCAACCCTTATGGTTATTCATTTTGTAGTAAATTATGCTCAATGCTATTAATCAAAAGCAGGAGTGTAGGATAAGAGAAGTTAAAGTCAATGATATAAGAGCTTTGCTACGCTCTGCTCAATAATTTCTATATCCTGCAAATGAATCATGGTAAACCTATGCGAAACCTGCATTATTAAAAGGCAATAACGATTATTATTTGAGATCGCAGGTTCGAATCTCCTCGGCGGCCTTAAAATTTTGCTTCTGATTTTGTTAGAATATGATTTTCTCTTAACTTCACTGATCAGTTTTTTTAGACATTTATAACTTAATTTTGTGATAAGAATGCATTTTTAGCGAATTTCCCATATAGGGAATAAGCTATTACCGTAGTACTCATGGTAAGACCTGGACGCGGGACCGATTTTTTTTTTCGTTTTGAGGTCCCTAGAGGCCAAAAACACCATCCGTTCAAATTCATATATATATATATATATATATATTTATATATTTATATATTTATATATATATATATGTGTCCGTCAGCACGATAACTCGAGCAAAAATGATCCGATTTTGATGAAATTTGGTACAAACGTGTAAACGTACGTTTATTCGAACGAGTTCGCGATCCAGCATGATCGGACCATGGGAACGGGGGTTTACGGGGGGTTTTATGGGGTAAAAATAGGTTTTTCCCATTTTTGACCCAAAAAACATAAAATTTAGCAATTTCTTTCCAAACCATTTTGTAGAGCTTAAAAAAACAAATAATTTAGTATATTGAAGCGTTATTATGCGCCTAATGGTTACGGAGAAAATACCAAAAAATTGTACATTTAAAATTCCCATGTTATTCTTATGGAGAATAAGTAAACTGTTGTAGTTTGCTTGTTTGTGAACATATTTTGATCAAATTTGGAAAATGTTTTTATTTCTTACTAACTATTCACATTTTACACAAAAAAAAACAGTTTTACCCTCCCTGATGCAGCAAACCTAAGTACTTGTTAAACTAATTCTATTTAAATCAAGAATAAATGTTATATTTTTAAGTAGACATTTCAGTGTAAATCCAATCAGTCAAATGGAAATTCGCTTAGTCTGCAGGTTTGCTGCGGCGGGGGTATTTATAAATACATTAACTTTTTGTGTGTAATCATTTCCTAACAGCGAATAATTGAGATAGGCTAATCGATTTTTAAAATTATCAATTCGTTTTTAAGTATAGACATATAACTTAGGTCTAGTTTTATTTTAGCAGTTAAAAGTAAGAAATATATTGTCAACCACTTTCAAATTTTCCCTTTGGTGCAGTAAAATTTATCAATACGACTATAATGTAAACTAAAAAGAATAAGTGAATTGGTATACTGGTACGTTTCATTACATTTATAATAACATCAAAATAAGCAGTTTGCTTAACTTGAAACCTTATTTTTCCTAGTAGCTGGAACCTATATATTTTTCCAACTTAACTTGTTAAAAAGAACATAACGATTATACAATTAAATATAAACGTCATGATTTTAATCACTCAATATAGAACTGGTTGTTAATCAATTCGTATTACATGCAATTAACTAATATACTCTTTAGTATTCATCACATTTTTTTCTTTTGTACTGTATTTATAATGTGGTAGATTTGTTGACTAACATATGTCGAGGCTCTTATTTACTTTTTAGTGTTGACTCGCAAATAATGTCATGGCAACCAATTAACCCATAAGGCCCATGTTAAATTTCTAAAAGTTTGCATTCATGTAGGGAAAATTCCTATGGTCCGATTTGTACCATTTCAGATTTATACCTTCCCATGGTTGGGTACTATGACTGTGTTAAATTTCGTGAAGATCGCTTCAGCCGTTCAGGAGGAGTATTTGTAAAACAAAAGCAGGAGTGTAGTATAAGAGCTTCGCTCGCTTCGCTCGCTCCGCTCAATAATGGAAAACTCGTAAAAGCTGTTTATTACAGGGGATCATATACTAAATTATTTATATTTTAGAAGTAAACGCACATAATGTTCCAAATATTCTACTGCCAGTTAAACTATGTATAATATATTTTATCTTGATGAATGTATAATATGTATCAAGTAAGTGTGTTTATGTATTTATAATTTGTAAATGTGTTTAGCTTAAGCTTTTTTGAGAAAAATACAAAGGTTAAAATGAAAAGCTGTCTAACATATTAGGCTTGACTTTTCCCAAACTTGGCTTCACCAAACGGGCAGTTAAAACCTCTATTTAGCTGTCCGTTGGCTTAGCAATCGGTGAAAATTTCCGGTTAAATCATGCCAAAGTGTATCACTTAAAAACAACCCCTCTTCCCTTATAAATCATTTTTAAACAAGTATTTGACATCCCATACCCACTATAATGTAGGCAGTTTTAGAATTAAGATGTGGGTAGATGAATAAAGCAACCGACCATTTACTGATTTCTGTCATAAATACCAGTTTTTTAACCAAACTGAACTAAAGGGACAGATACAGTTAACTTAAGCATCTAATATCATATCAATTGTCAAAGTATCTAAGTAAGTAACAAAGAGAAAATATAATTTTGTAGCACACTCCACGAGTGGCTTAACACGTTCAATGCGGTTGCGCGATGGCTGGCTGCGGCCGGTGGCGCGAATAACTAATGTGCTGTGTGGATGAATGCACGAAAACCTTAAATTTAGTTTCCTGCATATCAGAGACATATACTGTGTCCCAATTGTTGAGGATGTAGTTTTACAAGAACCCAACAGATAGCAGCACTAAACAATACTACTAGCCAGTCCTCAGTACAGCAAAAAGCGATCAAGCACACTTTTTGAGGTTAGGTTCCTTCCACAATGCTACAGTACATTCATTATTTTTATAATGCATGTCATTAGATCCAATCCTAAGCCTCACACTACAGCAAATTTGATTTTGATCTGAAAATGAATTATAACAGATTGAAGTATACTGGCACAATAAGCGGCGAACAAAACAAAGTCCGAACGTGTTAATCAACTACAGTATGTTCTATTTGAATGAAAAATTGATTGCAGCTGATCCATATAGATGGGATGTCTACCGTAGTATAAAGATCAATTTATTTATACCAATGATGTAATTTGTTTAGATTTTCCATATCTATGCTGCATAGTGTCCACTATTACCCAAGTTCAAAGGTCTGACCTCATGTAGAAAAGTTGGAAGTTGTAGCACAGGTACAAACAAAAATTTAAGGGAGGACATTATTTTAAATTTATTTTAACAGAGTTCAGAACTTAATAGAACACACTCAGGAGATCCAGTAAATACTAAGCTGGATCCTAAAAAACTTCACCTAAAAATAACCATAGAGTTAGCCATCTACTAATGGTTTAATCAGATGTTGAAGTTTCCGCGACAGCAAAAATGTTCACAAAAAAAAATGTCTATGGACAAAGGAGGCGTTCATGATTTTGCGCCGATCGCAAGAGACAAAGATGACGTCTTCGAAAACACAGAATGTTCACGATTTTGTCGAGGACAATATCGTTTATTTTCAACTTGGGTTTTCTGTTCACTAGTTTGCCACGAAGTCACTTAACCTTGCTATAGCATGACAGTTATTATTTTAAAAATCAATACTTTGCAAAACCACAAATATTTGACCCGACCTGAATTAGGCGAGTCATAATTTTTTACCCAATCTAAAGTAAAACAGTTTGGGCCGCAGACCCCTAATATTATCATAAAAAATAAAACAAAATGGAATTATTATTTACTTTTAAATTAACAATAAGTTGTTTTCTTTCTTTGAAAGGTAGGTTTGTACCTTTATTTTTTTGAAATCGCCTTCCACAACCAATTTAAGCTGGCTTGCACCATGCTCTACGAATCACCTAGCTAAAAGCCATGGTGGCGACATACACGGAAAACTAATGAACTCATCGCCAGAGTTCACTGACGCCAAAACAGCCTTAAATTAAAATTGCCTGGAGAGAAACTTCATGTAGCCATCTCTAACAGATTATAAAACTAAAAACCATTCGACCGTCAACCCTTAAAAATGTACAGTATAGTAAACACGTTAATCCTACCTTGATATATGTACACAGAGCGTCACCCTTAGGCAAAGAAGTCTCAGGATCCAGGTAAAGCTTAACTTTCATCTTCTTCGTTGTCTCGTCTCTCATTACCAAACCGCACTTCTGCATCACGTCGATAAACTCCTGCTCTGTGATGTCCAAAGGCAGTCCGCTGACGTAAACTTTGGTCGTCTCTTCTTCTTCTTCCTCAAACCAGGCTGCAAATCAGATAATTTGGTATCACTATTGATTCAAAGACAGCAACACCCTAGGTACATATGTGAACCCGAATTTAAAGACAAAATGAATGTATAATGGGGTGACATAGCTTTCTATCCCTGGGAACGTTTACATATTTATTTTGGAACCTAAATCATAATCATCAAATGCATTGCTAGATGAGCATTAATTTTTATTTCTTACTATAGGCCTGGCACTGTAAATTACACTATCAACAAGGAATTTATAGCATAAAAGCAAGTATTTCATCAAGATTTAGGATTGAATTTTGGATACTGTATTCATCCCATCGATATGGACCAGCTGTCCCAAATTATTTAAATAGAACGTAGAATTGTGAACGAGCCAGTCAAAGAGTGTGCTTGGGTATAAAGTAGAAAATTTCGCATATGGGAAGAAGCAATTACCGTAGGTCTCATGGACCTTTGACCAACATTGACATTCCATCCCTATGTTAAAGTAGTCGCCAGTTTTTAATGCAAAATCGTTGTATTTGATGTAAGCCTCTGACAGATTGTGCTGATCTAAATTAGCCTACTAATTTCTGTCAAATGCACAATACTTTTTTCCAAATTGAAATGTTGGAACGGCTTATATAAGCTATAGCAACTGTTAGGACCCATCAACTATGTCAGCAACAAGAAATAAGGACAATTGATTTCACAATTTGAGTAACTGTTGTCAATAAGGTGATGGGTAAAAGCAGACTTTTGTTCAAGTTTTTTGGTACTTGTCAGTATTCTTCATACTGTATATTTTCGAGTGTGCTGCCACAATGCGCTTTGACAATGTTGCGCTTTCAAAAACCTAGGCCTAGTCAGCTGTTACAAATTTTTTACTACAGACAGAGATAAGATAGACTCTTTTGGTGTCTCAAAGAGTATAAATACTTAGCCTACCTGGTGTTTGTGGAGCCTTTCTTTTCTCAGCATCTTTCTTCTGCGGTTGCTCTTTCACTGGTTCCGGTTTAGGATCATTAGCATTAGGATCAACAAATCCATAACTCATTTGGTACTTAGCTAAGAAGTCATCATCCACCTGAAAATATAAAATACTATTTGTAAATATCACTGTGAAATATGAGCTGAGACTAACCGCTGTAAATTTAGGTCTCCATTGAACTGTTGTCAAAACCTATTACACTAGTTCAAATCTGATACCCAA